TGAAGGAATATTTTTTTCAGTATGGTGAATAGAAGCTGAATCCAGCCCTCTGATCAACTTAATGGCCCTCCTCTGGACCCGTTCTAACAGATCAACATCTTTCTTTTGTCAGTGGCCCCAGACCTGGATGCAGGACTCCAAGTGGGGCCTCACAAGGGCAGAGCAGAGGGGGCAATCACCTCCCTTTCCCTGCTGGACACTCCTCTGGTGATGCAGCCCAGGATGCAGTTGGCCTTCTGGGCTGCAAAACTTTAATCTTTAAACTTTTAAACTTTTAACTTGATTCTTTAAGTTGCCCCACTGATTTTTATAGCTCATATAGCTCCAGTCACTAGTGGTGTCCCGCAGGGCTCGGTGCTGGGGCCAGTCCTCTTTAATACCTTTATCAATGATCTGGATGAGGGGATCAAGTGCACCCTCAGTAAGTTTGCAGATGACACCAAGCTATGCGCATGTGTCGATCTGCTCGAGGGTAGGAAAGTTCTGCAGGAGGATCTGGATAGGCTGCACCAATGGGCTGAGGTCAACTGTATGAAGTTCAACAAGGCCAAGTGCCGGGTCCTGCACCTGGGGCGCAACAACCCCAAGCAGAGCTACAGGCTGGGAGATGAGTGGTTGGAGAGCTGCCAGGCAGAGAAGGACCTGGGAGTGGTGGTGGACAGTCGGCTGAATATGAGCCAGCAGTGTGCTCAGGTGGCCAAGAAAGCCAACAGCATCCTGGCTTGTATAAGAAGCAGTGTGGCCAGCAAGTCTAGGGAGGTGATTGTCCCCCTGTACTCGGCTCTGGTGAGGCCGCACCTCGAGTACTGTGTTCAGTTTTGGGCCCCTCACTACAAGAGGGACATCGAGGTGCTCGAGCGAGTCCAAAGAAGGGCAACAAAGCTGGTGAGGGGCCTGGAGAACAAGTCTTATGAGGGCTGGCTGCGGGAGCTGGGATTGTTCAGCCTGGAGAAAAGGAGGCTCAGGGGCAACCTTATCATTCTCTATATGTACATTAAAGGAGGCTGTAGTGAGGTGGAGACTGGTCCATTCTCCCATGTGCCTGGCAACAGTTCAAGGAGGAATGGGCCAAAGTTGCGCCAGGGGAGGTTTAGGTTGGATATTAGGAAAAACTTCTTTACTGAGAGGGTTGTTAGGCATTGGAATGGGTTGACCAGGGAAGTGGTGGAGTCACCATCTCTGGAGGTCTTTAAAATACGTTTAGATGTAGAGCTTAGTGATATGGTTTAGTGGAGGACTGGTTAGTGTTAGGTCAGAGGTTGGACTCGGTGATCTTGGAGATCTCTTCCAACCTAGATGATTCTGTAATTCTGTGATATATCTCACTGCTCTTTTTGGTCTTGGAGATTCATATTTTTGGGATCTTACTATGATGATACTATAATGACACTATAAATTAAATAATTGATACTATAAATTTAATTATCAGACTATATGTTCCCAGGACTACTTTCTCACACTGAGGCCAATTGTCATGTAATTTTGCTAGATACATTTTATTAAATATTTAAATAAGCTTGATACATGAAAACTGCCATTAGAAATTAGCCCTGATCTGAGATAACCCCTGGACTATGCCCAGGATTTGTTCAGGGCATTGCTAGCAAGTCCTGGCCAAGTCAATGCTTGGAATGGTTGTTCCTGGATGCTTTCCAGTGCTGGGGAGTCTTCCAGCTACCAGCTTATGCAGGGTTTATCCCCCACATTGTCCTACTCATTCAGTAGCTAGATGCAAACAGCTCGTGGAACAGCCACTGCCTTTGACAAAGTTAATGATTGCCTTTTGGTAAAAGACTCAGCTGGGAATCTTTTTAATCTTTTTTTTTTTTCTTTTTTTTTTCTTTTTTTTTTTTTCAGAAGATTAGAACAACAGGGCCAATTTCTTAATGAGACTGCATTCATGCTGGACACACATGCAAACCAACTTTGTATTTCCTTCACTATGCAGCAGTGGCCAGAGTTCAAATGCTCAGTCACATGCTAAAAGAATAATGGGGTTGTACTAGACTGCAGTAGCTTATAAAATCTTTCATGATATCTTTACTCTTGTGCAAAATTGCCAGGGTGAAGCATAGGTTGATTGTAATCTGCCATAACAGCCATGAGGCATAAAACATATGTTCGCTTGCTATAGGGAAGGGAAAAGGAAAGCATAATAAAGGCAGTACCAATACACTCGGGAGATGGTATTGTTAAATTGGTCTGGTTAAATAGATGCTAAACAAACTCCTTATTAGTTTCCTGTTTTCTCCTGGTAAGGGATAGCATATTTTAGCTTATTCAGGAAAGGAGCTTAGGAAAAGCTGGCAGGTCGCTTAAGACAGCAGAACAGAGAGCCATCGTGTTACTCAAGGAAACAAGCAAATGTACCAGGAGAGCAGCTTGTTACAAAAAAATAATAAATAAAAAAGATACAAGGAAAAAAAGGAACAACAAAGCAGTCGGTGAGGGTCAAAGGAAGGGATTAAATGAAACTGCATGCATTACACTGACCCTTGCTACCTTGTTACAAAACAACTTCATACCACATTGGGCAACTTCTTGAATGATATGGAAACAATTGTTCCATTTATTCTTTACATATGACAGATTGGTGACATTTCCAAGCTTTCATTAGCCTGGTGTGGGTTTTTGTTGTTGTTTTCCTCAGGGCTTCATCTGACAGTAGTACACTTCACCTTATTAATGGCAAATTTTTCAGACCATGCAAATTGAATATCTCTCATTTATGATAAATGAATTGGCTAGCTACACCTGTATCAACACTGTGGCACCTGCCACATGGGGCACCTGCCCCATTCAGCAGCAGGACAACATTTTCCCCAGTCTTCCTTTTTCTACTGATGTATTTGAAGAAGCCCTTCTCCTCTTCAGTGAACTGAATAAGTCTCTGCCTGTGCCTCACTACTCCTGGGGGAGTCTCAGCTTCTGACACTGACAACACTGAACTAGAACAAAGCACAGAATAATACATACACAAAACCAAATCTTTGCTGGCTCATCATAAACAGCAGGACATGGCGTGTCTCAGTTCACAAGCTGTTGAGCTGATAGCTCCCAGGAGAGGGTGAGGACTGATGAAGGGGGGCACAAAAGAGACGTCCTGATGGAAGCTGGTCTCCAACAGAGTCACAGTCCTGGGCTTGGCCATGCAGCTATATCATGGCACAAGGAGGGTCAGTTGCCCCAAGAAGGGATCCAGGACCTGAAGAGAACCATGGGAGAAGCAGGCCATGCCCTCCCTGAGCAGGACCCACCCCACAGCAGCCATTGAAGGAACAGGGCAGACACAACCTGAGCAGAGGGGAAGGTTGGTCGAGCCAATTGGTGCACACAGAGCCCTGGTGAATTAATCCAGACTAGAGTTTAAAACTGATTAGTCAAAACTAATTCAGCCTGAAAATGCTAGTCAGATGAGACTGTTAGACAACCCTCAAGTTACCCAGAACCTGACCAAAAATGCCACCACAACAGGAAGTGAATTCCTTCATAAAAATTAATTGCTGTTTGGGAAAAATAAATAAGTAAATAAATAGATAAATAGATAAATAAATAAACGATTAAATAATAAATAAACATGGGTGTAAAATGGTTCAAGGTTGTCTCTGAACACTTATTGATTATTTATTTATCTATTTCCTTCACCTGGAATGATTTGTCTTGTTACTCTTTTAGGCACCATCATTTAGACCATCTTCAACCCTTTTCAATCCTTGTTCTCCTTCTCCTGCTCCCAAGTGAAAGCCATCTTTTGAGAGCAGACTCAGGTGCAAATCCTCCCTGGCATCTATCACAAGGCTGAAGGATTTCTCCTGCTCTTTTGAGAGCAGACTCAGCTGCAAATCCTCTCTTGTACCTATCACAAGGCTGGAGGAATGTTCTCAACAACCAATAGACAACAGTGAACAATACTTGCTTGAATTGTGTCCTGAACATTGTTGAACTATTTTAATTCCCGCTATCAGAATAAACCCAAAACAGACAGTGTATGAGAAATGTCTGAGAACTCTTCATTGGTGGATCTGATCACATGCACAAGCCAACTACTGCTACTAATAAAGAGAGAGATTTTGGTTCAAGGACAGCAGGGTTAAGAACTGCCCTTCCTCTAGCAGACTAAGGATCCCATCCCACTCCTAAGAAGCCAGGGAGCTCTCTTTCCTGTTATTATGCCTGCACTAGAGGTGGAAAGTACAGGGTAATTCAAATCACTCTGGCTATAAGTGCTTGAGAACAACAAGAAATAAAAAGAACCATTTGCATGAAGAACAACTAGCTTCTTCTATGTATATCACATACCACATAAAACCAACTGTGAAGTAGCTAATTCTCAGCATCACCCAGAGACACATCTAACATTGCTGAAAGTTAAAGCAAATATTGTGGGTTAGATTCTCACGTTTATATGACTGCAAAGTCTTTTACAAACTTGACATTACTCTATTCAAAATATCCAATACACTTTGGATATTTTCTTTAAATTTGAACATTCGGGAACTTTGGCATGGTATTGTAGCCTAAGATGAACCAAACCAAATCAAAAGTCATACATTTCAGAAATGCGCTTCTTGCATTTTCAATGCCACTTCTTTGCCTACAAATATACAAGACAGAATTTTCTTGGCTGCTTCCAGATGCATGCCTGAGGATTGATCTTACTCAAGGGAGAACCTGGCCATAAATAATGTATACAGCCAGTTAGGTCATGATAAAATTAAATAACCCTCTTGTAAGCACTTTAAGCATGGACTAGTTCCACAAAACTTCAGTTTTTATAACAGAACTGCAGTAATGTATTTCCAGAACATGTTATTTATGAAACTGTTCTTATTTATAGGAGGGGTATTTTTGTGAGCATGTTCACAGCTATTGTGTATTTTAGTTTGCACACTGTGACTATGAATATTTAGCTTATCCAACATAGCAGGAAGGAAGAGTTAGTTGCGTGATCAGTTCATGTGAAATCATTAGCATCTGCAAATTAGGAAATTTAAGGAAGTTCAAATGCAGTAGGGGAAATGATAATCTGAGTAACTTTGTGACTTGCAACATTTGCAATCGAACATTTGTTTGCAGTTTAAAAAGTGGCAAAGCAAAACACAGAGTCTTTGCAGCTCCGATCCATAATCAAACACAATAAAGGAGGAGGGTTTTTTCAAGAGGAGGTAGGTGACTCTCTATTCTTTATTTTTTTTTTCTTTTGCCTCGAAATAAATAATTAGCTTGTACAGAATCTAAACGTTTGCCAAGGATAAAATTAGGTTGACTTATAGTACAACATGTACAAAATCTGTATTAGTTTACTGCTTAAGAAAACCTAGGCAGAATGTTTGTGATGCATAAGCCTATTTGATTAAAAACATGAATTTGTATATATATAAAACTTCTAGAGCTTTCTGCAGGATTCAGGAAAGACTATGAGAGGTCTATGATATCCATTGCTGTATTTATTAAAAGGGCAAACTAAAATGAAAAACAAAACATAAGAATTTAGTGGTGATTAAAACTTACATTACAGTGATGTGTGATTGTGTAAGAGTGCAGTAGTATCTCTGTAGAGCTTAGTACTATTTAACAGATATTAAAAAAAAAAAAAAAAATCACACTTCAGCCCTATTAATCCAGATAAAATTAAAAACAAACAAACTAACTAACTAACTAACTAAAACCAAAACAATCAAGCAAACAAACAAAAAAGCAGACTCACTGAGGAGGTCATCAAGAAATATTCCAGCACGGAAATTGCCTCTGCACAGGTGAATATTTCAGTATGTATGCATGGAATTCGTCTTGTTCATAAGAAACTTTAATTGGAAGAAATTACTGTAGCTTTAATAAAACAATCATTTCTTGGACAATCATAGTTATCTTGAACAGTTTATTTTGCTTGCAGCCCTGGGACCCCCAGTACAAGAAGGAAATTGGGGCAGGTTCAGAGGAGGGCCACAAAGATGCTCAGAGGGCTGGAGCAACTCTCCTATGAAAACAGGCTGAGCGAGCTGGGGCTATTCAGCCTGGAGAAAAGAAGGCTCTGGGAAGACCTTCTAGTGGTGTTTCAGTACATACTCTTTGCCAGGGATTGTACTGACAGGACAAGGGGTAAAGGTTTTAAGCTAAAAGAGGGAAGATGTAGATTCTGTATAAGGAAGAAATTCTTTACTCAGAGAGAGGGGTGAAGCACAAGAACAGGTTGCCCAGAGAAGCTGTGAATGCCCCCTGGAAGTGCTGAAGGCCAGATTAGATGGGGCTTTGAGCAACCTGGTCTGGTGGGAGGTGTCCCTGTCCATGGCAGCAGGACTGAGCTAGATGATCTTTAAGGTACCTTCCAATCCAAAACATTCTACAATTCTATGATTTGACGATTGTTATCTGGCATTTATTTTGCAATAACTAAAATAAATGTTATTTTCTATACCCTATTAATTTCTATACCCTATTAATTATTATAACTAGAAATATGTGGGTTTTTGTTTCTTGGGAAAAAAAAGTGAATCCTGAAATAAAGAACATGGGTATTTGATGCAGGAAGGCACCTCTGGAAACTGTCCAGTCCTGCCCCCTGCTCAGAGCAGAGTAAGCTGCAGCAGGTTGCTTAGAGCTGTGTTCAGTCAGCTTTTGAATATCTCCGAGACTGAGGACTCAACAGCCTCTCTGAGCAGCTCTGCCAGTGTCTGCCCACCCTGAAAGTAAAAAGTGTATTCTTGAGTTTTAATGGAATGTCCCATATTTCAGTTTGTGCCCATTGCCTCCTGTCCAGTCACTAGGCACCACTGAACAGTCTGGCTCCCTCTTCCTTATTCCTCTCACTTGATAAGATCCTCAAGATGAAGATGAGCATTCATCTTCCCAGAATGAAGTTCCAGCTCTCTTCACCCCTTCTTTTATGAAAGCTGCTCCACTCCCTTAACCATATTCGTGGTCCTTTGCTGGACTTATTGAGTCCATGTCTTGCTTGTACTAGGAAGCCCAAACTGGCCACAGTACTCCAGGTTGGGCCTCACCTGTAGTAGAGAGGAAGGATCACCTTCCTTGCAGTGCTGGCATCATTACTGCTGATGCCAAGGTTGCTATGGATTGCCTTTGCCATAAGGGCACTTGCTGGTTCATGGGCAGCTTGTTGTTTACCTGGACTCCAAGGGCCCTCTCTGCAAAGCTGCTTTCCAGCAAAACATCCTCAGCCTGTGCAAGAACCCCAAGAACTCATTTTCCTTTAATGAAATTTATGAAATACTTGTCAGTCCATTTATCTGGCCTGTCTTGGACTCTCTGAAGCAAAACAGAATAGTGGTATATCACTTCTCCCACTTTCGTACCATTTCAAAAAATGAAAATACTGATCTAGAGACCGAATTGGTTCTGGAAAAGCTTAATTAAAGTATCAATGTGAGGTAAATATTTAATTGCCTTGTGTGTGTTGCCCTATTTTTATCCCTATGCCTCTGGGTACGCTTAGCATGTGTATGGTGCTCTCCATATGTCCACAATGTATAAGCATCAATTTATGTCCACATCACCCGGAGAGTAAAATTCAAATTTTCATCTCTAGAAGGGTGTCGCAAGCAGGAGTGCTTTTCCCAGATCCACTCAAGAAAATAAAGTCAGTGGTAGAGCTAGGAATTAGAACCAAGGAACCTTAGTCTCAGGTGGCATTTTCTGGTAGCTTCCTACACTCACACCCTGAGAGAAAAGACAACAGCCTGTACAGACTAATAGGGTAAGAAATTAGAGTGTTTAAGTCAGTATTGAATTGATGCTCTCTGTAAAAACTGCTACAGATACGCCACAACTTTTAAATGTGACCTTGTTTTCCTTCTGGCATGTCAGTACTAAGATCTTTCCAAAGCATACTGAGTTTGCCCATGCTACAAAGGATTGAATATGCTCAAGTTCACTAGCATACAATGAAAGAAGCCACTTTACCAGGGATATGATCACTATGTCTGAGTAAGTCAAATCATACATCTGGTAATGTTAGATAATAAGCTTAGCAGTATTTTAAATGTTTTCCTTGATAAGATTTTGCTAGTGAAAAATTAACCATATAGTCTATGTCCGTACATCTAAATAAAAGAAAGCTAGGGCTTTTCATAGCTCCAGGGTAATGTAGCACTGGCCAGCTCATATCCACATAGCTTAGGTTAGTCTTACAGCAAATCTGTAAGACTAACTAATCTCTCTCTGCCTTGGAGAGAGCTAGGGGGTGAGCTAAGAACTGAGGAGTGTGGAAACCAGATTCTTGAGCTCCCTCTGCGTCCCTCCCCCATGCAGTAGCATAGCCACATGCTGAAAGACCAAGGCACCAGTAAGGCTGGTCAGGAGCGAAAAAAAAAGAAAAACAAACAAAAAAATGAAAACAAACAAACAAACAAACAAACAAGCATAGAGTTAAGAATGAGGGAAACACTACTTGCACATGTTCTTGTTTCTGTTAGTTTGATCCTCCAAATAACACTCCCAAGCAGTCTGAGATAACTACACCTTTCTTCGGACACCCTGAGACCCTGAGGTCTGTTGAGAGCAGAGTGAGTTTAACCATACCTGTTTGCAAAACATCAATCTGGGAGAAGATGCAGGGCCTGAAAGTACAAAGCTCCTGCAGATGTGGTGCTGGAGCCATTTGCTTAGCTGCCAGGCAGAAGGTATGGAAGAGCAAGGCAACTGAATTAAGTCTCTCTGCAGCTCCTCTATCCTTCACCCTGCCTGCAACCCAGAGAAAATTCAGGAGACCTGGCTATGTGTTGGTACTTTCAAACCTGGTGGGGCAATGGAGAGAACACAGCAATAACCCAACCCAAATCACTTCTTGTGTAATTTATTTTAAAAGTCAGTCATCAGTGAAACACAAGTCTATTGGGAAGCAAATTCTGTCAGTGCTCTGGTCAATGGAAAGGGACATTTCTTATGAGGAGAGTAAACACAACTTCTACTTCTACTGCAAGCTCACTGACAAGTCCAGATCCTGGACACAACAGTGCCAGCAAGCACTCCTCTAAGCAGGAAGGGCTGCAGTTGACTTCTTTGGCAGTGATCAGATCAGTGATCAAATGAGCATTTCCATGAGAAAACATGGAGAACATTTACAGAATAGGCCTGCTGTCATTCATAAGGATTTGAAAGCCCAAGAGTCACAAGAACAGACAGAAGGAGATGACAAGAAGAATGAAGCAAAGACAATAAAGGAAAGGAGAGCAGAGAGTTGAGAGAGAATAAGGAAGCAAACACCTAAAATTGAGGGTAGGATGAGGAAAAGAACAATGAAAGGTTAAGAGTCATTAAACAGAAGGCACAAAACCGAGAAAAATATGGCTATATGAAAAGAACAGGAGGTCTTGAGGTTCCTGTGCGCAGTTCTGAGGAGATCACTGAGAGCATGGAAGAGTAGAATAAGTGTTGAGACCCTTATCTTGCAGAGCATTTCAGTGCCGGTCCTCCGTACAGTTTGTACCTAAGATTCTTCAGTATCACTTCCCAGCAGCTGTGGCCACATCCTCACTGTAGCAGAATGATTTGCAAAGAAAAGATTGATGTTGCAGAGATAAGCAGAAAGGCATCAGGCTACAGTGAAGAGTCGCTCTGTCCTGGCTCAATTTCTGGAGACTGTAATGGACAGGCCATGCCAAGCCATTTCCATGTCTTCTTCTGAAATGACCATAAAAACTAATGTAGAAAGACAGACAAGTAACAAACTATTAGCAAGCTTCTTCTTCTCCTGAGTTCATAAGAATTTATCTAACAGTGTTGGAATTAGCCTTAGAAATGCCTGCAATCAAGAAAATGGCTACTAGAAAATTACACTACTATGAAATACTAAAGCAAAAAATACCATGAATTGCCATTGCTTCTTAACATATAAAGGAACAGAAAAACAACTTCTGGTCATAGTGAAAGGAAGTGGTGCTGGCGCTTTCCAGAAAGAAAGAAGGGAAAGGGAAAGGGAAAGGGAAAGGGAAAGGGAAAGGGAAAGGGAAAGGGAAAGGAAGGGAAAGGGAAAGGGAAAGGGAAAGGGAAAGGGAAGGGAAAGGGAAAAGGGAAGGGAAAGGAAAGGGAAAGGGAAAGGCAGGCAAAGGGAGAGAAGAGAAGAGAAGAGAAGAGAAGAAAAGAAGAGAAGAGAAGAGAAAAGAGAAGCGAAGAGAAGAGAAGAGAAGAGAAGAGAAGAGAAGAGAGAGAAGAGAAGAGAAGAGAAGAGAAGAGAAGAGAAAGAAGAAGAGAAGAGAAGAGAAAGAAGAGAAGAGAAGGAAGAGAAGAGAAGAGAGAGAAGAAGAGAAGAGAAGAGAAGAGAAGAGAAGAGAAGAGAAGAAAGAGAAGAAGAAGAGAAGAGAAGACTCTCCGCTCCTCTCTCCCGCCCTCCCCCTCTCCCCTCCCCTCCCTCCCTCCCTCCCCCGCCCCTCCACTCCCCTCAACCCCCTCCCGCACCCTCACCTCACCTCCCCACACCCAAAAAAGAAAAGAAAAGAAAGAAAAAGATATTTTCTTGATTTCCATCAGTGACCCTGAGCTAGAGGACTACTCATGAAAGCAAAGCCATGAAGTACCTTGATAAAGCAGGCAGCAATACAGGTCCTCTTCTGCATTCACACAGCCTGATTGGGAAGGTCTATCCTTCCATTTACTGTCTGTATAATGCTCTACCAAAGGTAATATTCACACACTCTGTAAGAGATGACAAAAAAAAAAAAAAAAAAAAAAAGTAGGCAAAAAGAGGACCCGGCTAGGTATAAAATTTGGTTGCTGCGTTTTCTTTAGGAAATTAAAAATTAAAGAAAAAAAAATTTAAAATTAAAGACACTCAGCAGAAGGAAACAGAAAACCAGATATGCAAAATAAAAAAATAAATAAATATTAGAAAAACATCAACAAGTTTAAAAAGACCTGCATATAATCAAAGGATTTAAAACAAGAACTGAAAAATTATTTACTTGTACCAGAAGCAGTGAATAGATTTCAGCCAGATCTCCAATGCCTGTAATGGGAGCTTAAACAATTCACACATATGTAAAGACCTTATGAAATTATTATTCTGTAGAAATAGAATATAAAATACATAGATAAGAAAATCTGATTAAAGCATAAACACATTCTCACACAGGGAGTCAAATATCTCTCTCATCTATGAGCATTTGGTCTGTATATCCATAAAAAAATTGGATAAAAATCAGGAAAATAATTTAATATATTTAGATTATAAAAAGATTGATATAATGATCATACCCAAAAAAACATTTAACTCAGAAACATATTCTGCTAATTTTGATTTGGGTATCATCAAAGCCCTAGGTACGTTCATTACTTTTCCCAGCTTCTCAAATGTATTTTGTAGCCCAAGTTAAATTGTGCATCAGTGTAGTTTAAAATTATTATGGAGATGGTTCTATGAGATATCTTCATATTTTTATTACAAAGCACATATTCTAGAGGTTCAGTTGAGTCCAGAGTAAGATTCAGCAAGTTCTGGACCCAAAACAAATGAACAACATAGAAAGTGCAGAAAAAAGTATTGTATTTAATAGTGATAGAGATGCAGGAAACTATACCTAACAATTGTGATTCTTTATTATACTCAGTCTTCTGTGAAAACAGGTGAAAAGTGAGGGACCACAGTAAATAACAACAACTACAAATAAATAAAGAAATAAAACTCATTCAGGTTAGTCAGGAACTGACAGAAATGTTCAGCTTTATGATGAATGCTTCTATTGGAGACATTCAGGAAAATGGAAAAGCAGATCTGTGGTCAGGAAAAAAAAAAAAAGATTATAGTAAATTACAAGAAAACAAAAAACAAGAGAACCCACAAAAACAGAAATACCCTTTGCTTCTAAAAATAATAATAATAACAATTATAAAAAGTGATTCAGGGAACTGCTCCAAGCATTATTAATGCTTTCCTCTTTCCTACATGAAATTTTGAAATCAGCCTGAAAAGCTTTTCAGGCAAGACTGTAGATTTGCCACAGTCAGAAATAAATAAATAAATAAATAAATAAATAAAGCAGGTCAGTATTTAATTCCTTCCAAAACCTGACAAAGCCTTTCTCCTCCTGCTTTGCTTAGGTAGTTCATATCTCATGGGTGTTTTCCATGCACACCTCAGATACTGACAGGAGCAGGCAGATGCTTTGAACTTGACTTGGTGGTGATGCCGGCTTTAAAAGAGCACTCACGGAGAAGTGAGACAATCGTCCATAGCCTGACAGAGCCAAAAAAAAATTTCTCCACTTTCCAAAAGGTGCCTTCAACAAACAGCTGAAAGCCAGTGTTCACTTTACAGCAGAAACAGGAGTGCTGCGTAGGAAAATTGGCAGGGTCATTCACAGGATAGGGAAGCAAGAGAACATGACTTTTTGATGGTATGGTTAGGACAGATATTGAGAGAACAGCAAGCTGAAGTCATGGTCTCTGCACTGAAAACTGAGTGGATGTGTCATAACTTGTGGTGTCTCCATCTCAAATCGCTGTGTTGTAATAGCTGATAGTGAGTCTGTTCCGTTCTTTCAAAGAATAGGTGCCTACCAGAAGTCCTGAAGCACAACTTCTTCTTGGTTTTTCTAAAGAATTTGTTCTAGGAGTGAATTAACATCTTTCACACTTCTCATGAAGAAAATGAAGCTTTGCAGAAAAAAAAGAAAAAAAAAAAAAAAAAAAAAAAAAAAAGTGTTCTTTGTTATCACCCTTTTTTAATTATTATTATTTTGTTTTTCTTTTCCCTGAAGGCTTCTCTTTCCACAGAAGGAAAGATGTTTGATACTCTTGGACTCATTTGGATGAGTTGGTGGTGTATGACACTATTTCATCCCTTGCATGCTGACCTCCAGCGTATAGAGCGTGAGTATGATTTTGCAGACATAGTCTGAGAAATAGGGTTTACTTCCTCATTTATTAGAGATATTTATAATTAAGCTGGCAATAGTCATCTTAGGCCTGGCAGATACTATCCTCTCTACTCAATAACAGCATGTCCTTACTGAACCTGTTCTTTAACCTGTTAGGAATCTGTTCAGCAGAGACAGAAGAATCACCTATCACAAATTTGACATGGAATTGGAGAAGAATGGAGCTGTCCTGGGAGAGTAGCAAGAATTTCCCTAGTTATACTTGTATGATGACCAGCGGTGATAGACGTAGAAGGAAGAAGGTACACTTGCTATTCGTTGATAAAAACTCATACCTTTTACTTTACTTCTTATAGACTACATTTACCTTTAAAAAAATGGATCAGTTGGAGGTAAAATCTGATAAGTGACTGTTTGCAGTCTACAGCTTGATCTGTCAAGAGCTATGAAAAGCCACCACTGACACCAGGGCATATTAATTGGAAGAAAAGTACCTTGTGCACACTACAGAACCAAAGTTCTGTGACCAAAGTGGATAGGAGATGATAGCCTGAAGTGCAGCTACAATGAAGTATGAGAAGGAATATAAACGCTGAAAAATCATTATGCCACAAAAAAGAGGTTGTGAGACTAAGTGAGGAGCCTAGATAATTTAGAGATAAAAAGGTCCTTCAGATGAAAAGTGAATTCCCCGAATACTATATTGATGTTCAACATCTCAAGGTCTTCACCTGTTTCCCAGTAAACTGGATCTTGCCTCTAGGACATGTTGTTATAAGCTCACACTCTCAGAACAGAAAAGGTGATTGGGTGGAGAGGGAGGAGGCAAGAGGGAAGGCTTATTTTAGCACAGAAAAGGAGATGCTTAATTGGAAATATGTACTACAGTAACACCACACTGTTATTGAAGATTATAAGCTTAATGCCATAGACACCTTTCTTAGCCCCTGGGGAGACCAGCTGAGGACTTCTATTTAACCAGGATCCTCTGGTTAAATTTCATCTTGGTTTACCAGTTTAGTCACCATCTTCTCTTATGGGGTAATATTAGCCTTCTCTAATAGTCACACACTAGTGTAGGAAGCTTTTTGTGTACTTACGTGTTCAGTGACTCGCCTTCATTCTACATTACCCTCAAGTGTTAAAAGAGGAAGTTAGTTCCTGAGACTGAAATATGCGTAGATATATATACACACTAGATTTTGGCCATAGGACTTGTTGCTGACTATCGCTTTCAGAGTCAGTGTCGTCTAACACAGCAGAGGAAAAACGGACAAATAGGGTATCAACTTGTTACTTTTCAGGTGGAGAACAGAAAATGCTGGTTTTCAATGGAAAATAGTCTACCTCTGCAAGGAGGGATAAGCTTTACCATTGAAGTACCAAATACAAACATCTCAAAACATTGCCGATTTATCCCTGAAGGTAATGCTTATGAGCTGGGTAAGGTTTTCTCCTTTTGCATTCTTTTAAAGATAAACAATGCCATAGAAAACAATTCCTTACATAGTAATTAACTATTCCTTTGATGTTGTTGTTGTTGTTGTTGTTGTTTTTTAAAAAAAGGTTGTTTCTTTGTTTATTTTCAAATCTTTTAAAATTATTTGCTCTCTAATGACTTTTCTGCACTTCTGCAAGAGAGTTATTATTAAAAATGTATCAGTAATTACATTATTCTTTTTCTTGCTAGGGCTCCAAAATGTCACTAAATTACAGTGGTTTTAGGAATGGATTCAAGCGACTGTTCTGGCTATTATGAGTTTGAATCTTAGTGCTTGCATCTTTATTAAATGTTTTTCTGCTGGGCTGTGTTGGGTTTGTCAGAAGCCAGACCACAGTGCTAGCAAAAGGCACAGTCTAGAGAACAGCGAAACCCATAAAAGGGGAGGAAGAGAGGAAAAGAAATGCTGGTGATAAGCAGATGGGGGCAAACTGAATGTAGTAATCTCCTAATCTGACCTTGGCTCTCATACACAGTAGGGTTCCTGCAGCTGGCATGCACCCACTGTGCTAAGATAATGGTTCACAAATAGAAATACTCTGTGTCTGTCCCATTTGTGCGTTAATCAAAGTGGGATTTAGGCAGATCCAAGATTCATAAATCCAAACTGGCGTCTTTATGGCCCATTTTCAACTTCCTTCTGAACTCAGTATTCTCCATTAAAATCATTCAGTCACAGGTACTTCTGCAGCGTGCACAGCTGGGATGCTTCAGATGTGACAGAGAGGATGTGCAGCCTACTCATATCTGAGCAGAGAAGGCACTGCCCTGCTCATCTTTTCCTGGGGACTCCACAGAGGAAACTTTCTCACGGTGCCGGTCAGAGTGAAAACAGGACGCTGCCTTTTAAAACCTCTTTCCCAGCCAGACCTCACGTCCACGTGTGCAGGTTCCCCAAGGGAATCCCCACTGCTTCCTGAGGCACCCTCAACATGGGGCGCTGGAGGGCGTCAGAAGCAGAAGTGGAGGAAGGCCCCACCCTTTTGCTGAAGTTGGGGCACACCGCAGAATTAAGCAGAGAATGGGCTGAAGGAGAAGGAAGAAGGGGGCCGAGCATGCCTGCACAGCATAGCTGCGAGGGAGCCTCCAAAGAAAGGAGATCCCCACTTGAAAGTGCTCCAGGAAAGGGCAAAGTTGCTCTCTCCAATGTCAGGGCGGAAAGCTCTAGTGAGTGGGCAGCTTGATCAGGAGGCACCTCAGGAGAGGGTTCCCGAGTGTTGGTCACAGAATGAGAAATACTTCTTACTGTGGCACCAACAATGGTGTTAAAAGCCCATGTGCTTTGCTTTACCAATGTGAATGCTCTCCTTTCCCAAGTCTCACAGTTCAGAGGTAGGCAAAATACAGTGCGAGTGCAGTTTTCTCTCAACCGTCACTGCTAACCTAAGCAATAATTGGTTGGAGATGCAGGTCTAACTAGCATATCCAAGCATGTCCAACTGCCTGACCAATTCAGGGCTAACCAGAAGTTAAAGCACATTACTGAGGGCATTGTCCAAATGCCTCCTGAACACTGGCAGGCAGGGGCAGCAACCACCTCTCTAGGAAGCCTGTTCCAGGGTTTGACCTCCCTCATAGTAAAGAGATTTCCCTAATCCCAGCCTGACCCCCCAGCACAGCTCTGTGCCATTCCCGTGTGTCCTGTCACCGGTGCCCAGGGAGCAGAGCCCGGCACCTCCCTCTGCGCTCCCCTCCTCAGGACGCTGCAGAGAGCACTGGGGTCGCCTCTCGGCCTCCTTTCTCCAGGCTGGGCAGCCCAGGTGTCCTCAGCCTCTCCTCATAGGACTTGCCTTCCAGCCCTTCTACCGGCTTTGCTGCCCTCCTCTGGATGCTTTTGTAGAATCATTAGGTTTGGAAAAGACCTCCAGGATCATCTGATCCAACCATCCCCCTATCACCAATATCAGCCATTAAACCATGTCCATAAGCACCATGTCCAACCTTTCCTTAAACACCCCCAGGGACCATGACTATTTCAATGCCTGACCACTTTTTCTGAGAAGAAATGGCTCCCAATTTCCTACCTGAACCTTCCCTGGCACAACTTGAGGCCATTCCCTCTAGTCCTATTGCTAGTTATCTACAAGAAGGGGCCGACGCCCAGCTCCCCACACTTTCCTTTCAGGTAGTTGTAGAGAGCAATAAGATCTCTTGAAATATATAATATAAATACTTGAATTTGTAATATATATGTTAATATATGTATTATAAGATATATAATATAAATACTTTGAATATAAGAATATTTCATGTACCTTACTATTCTTTTTTATATTGTGGAGCCCAGAACTGCACACAGTATTCAAGGTGAGGCCTCACAAACACTAAATCCAGTAAGAGAACCACCACTTTTGACCGGCTGGTTATGCTGTGTTTAATGCACCCCAAAATGTGGTTTGCCCTCTGGCTGCCAGGGCAAACTGCTGGCTTGTGCTGAGCCTGCTGTCACCAGCACCCCCAGGGCCCTTTCTGCTGAGCTGCTCCTCAGCCATTCAGCTCCTGTCTGTGCCAGTGTCTGGTATTACTCCATCCCTGGTGCAGCACTCAACATTTACCTTTGTTGAACTACATACTGTTGCTGGTCACCCAGTGCTCCAACCTATCTACATCCTTCTGCAAGGCCTCTCATCCCTCCAGAGAGATAACACTTCCCAGTTTAGCGTCACCAGCAAACTTGCTGAGGATGCATTCCAGTCCTGCATCCAGATCATGGATATAAATGAACTAAATCAGCCCTAGACCTGAGGGAACACCACTAATGACTGTCCACCAGCCAGATGTATGCCCAGTCACTGCAACCTTTTGAGCTCTGACATTGGGTCTGTTCATCACCCAGTGCAGCATGAACCTGTTCAGCTCACAGCTGGACAATTTATCCAGAGGGATGCTGAGAAGGACAGTAGCAAAGGACTTACTAAAATCCAGAAAGATTACGTCCACTGCTATGTGGATGCATCCCTCTGTCTTGGAGCAGTCACACAGTTCTTCCTCCTAACAGAGATTGCTGTGTTTGCAGGCAAAAAGGGGTCAGCCATTGAAAACTTCTCCTGTGTGATTTATGATGTTTCTCTCATGAACTGCACTTGGCAGGCAGGCAGGAATGCTCCAGGAGATACCCAATATTTTCTCTACTGGAAGAATTCAAGGTAAGTAAGCCTGCTTGAGTCTTGGAAAGTCTGAATTCTCACTCAACACATTACACTGCCCACTGCCCATCTTTAACTAAAACACTTTGTTATATGCAGAGATGATAATGAGACAGAATGTGAGCTTTACATTAAAGGTGAAAATGGCATGCACACAGGATGCAGATTCCAAAATGTGATGATTGAAGAGAAAACTACTTATTTTCTGGTGGATGGAATTAGCAGCGATTCCCAGATCCAGTTCTATGATGAGTACATAGAGCTGTATGAAATTGGTAAGTACACAGCCAACGTTATTTTATTAATTACTGCTGTATTAAAAAAAAAAAGGAGGGGGGGGGGGTGGGAGGGGAGAGGGGAAATTCTCTCTGAAGAGAAAAAAAGAAGAATAAAATAAAAGTGCATAACGACTACAGGTTTCTATACAGTGGTTCAAACTTGGTTCTTGAGAGCTGACAATATATGTTTCCAAAACTTACTACACTGAACAGACACAGAGACTGCAATAACAGCTTTGAGAAGAGTGTGAACAAATCCATGGGACCCAAGTGATGAAATGCAATGGTTAATAACTTTCAGAGTCAGCTTTCTGGTGTGCTCATTTCACCATCCCAATAATGCACTGAGAGCTGCAAGAGCAATGTGTCCTAAAGCCAGAGGGAGGGTTCAAATGGCGTATTAAGACTGTATTAGTGGATACCTACATGTGAGCTAGGTGGTCAAGTTCTCTAAAACATGCTTCTGGTTCCACTCAAGATGCCCTCAGACATCCACAAGGCTTGCAGTTGTGTTCAGGACTTGTGAGAGACCAGGGTCTTTCTGAGTGTCCTATGTGGTCTGAAACCCACAGCGCAGGACAGTTCAAGCAACTGACTCCTGCCTGCAGTCGGTGCAGGCTGGAAAGCCAGAGCTGTTCAGCTGAGCACACCTGCTCCACAGGGGGCTTTGCAGGCACTGTAGGCACTACTGATGAGATCTCTGCTGACTGTAGTGGTTAGACACCCAGGTCACCTGTAGACAGCTGTATTGTAGGCACTCAGATTCAGATGCCTCAATCTTCTACATGAATATCACCATGTGGATAAAAATTTCCATCTTTTTTTTTTCCTATGGAGACTTGCATTGTCAATGTGAAATTTAGATGTAGAAGAAAATGGTGTGCTGCAGACTATATGCCTGAATTATGCAAAATCCTTCATACACTTTTTTACATGAACTTCAATGTCCAACAGCTGTAGCACTAGATTCTCTAGTTTTTCTGTGTATTACTTCTGTTTACCAGATAGTATTTGTTACCATTAGTAGTGCACGGCTGTTTATAAGCTGCCTCAGCTTCACGTGCATTTTACTATGAATGAGTTGTAGCTGATTACAGACCATGTCTACATTAATTTTTTCATTTCATTCCATTCCAGAAAGACTCACTCCTCCGTTAAATGTCAGTGTCAACTGTACTGTCAATCCAGCAGGTTGCACAATTACATGGCAAAAACCCCGTGCAAGTTATGAGAAACCTGAACATTGTTTTACGTATGAAATTAACATACAAAATAAGGTAAAAACAATTTCTTGGTTTGAATTTGGCACCATACCTAGCTACATGTATTTACATAGCATGCAATGTTCTCTTTGCTTATTAACTTCTCTCTCATAAGCTTTGTAGTGTCCTCCGGCTCTGGTCCTGGTGTTCTAACTTCCCACTGCTTGTGAATTTATTTCAAACTAATGAGATTGGCATAGCAGAAAAACAGAGAGAAGGGAAATGTTATGAGGGGTCTCTGTCCAAAGACTAGGAGAGCACCTGAGATGCTGTCCTGCATCTCCTCACAGAAGATGACCATATGATTGCAGCCCAGTGATCCAAAATGAGATTCGTTCTTTGGCACCAGCCTCCAGCCCAGGCCAGGGCCCCTCATGCTCAACCTGCTTCACAGGGTACCTCAGCTTCAACCACCCTGATGGCATTTTGCAGATGCTGGAAAACTCAAAACTGCCTCTGAGTTTCAGCACATGGGGCAGTTTTTCCCCATCTCCTCCACCATCTCCCCCGTGATGTCACACTCTTCGACAGCCTTCTCTCAGGCACTGTTCTCCTTCTGGTTAAGACAACCCAATCCTCATCTTTCTGCACAATCCATCTTTTTCTATATGAACCTACCTTTTGAAATCAGAAGCTACTGAAAAAGGAAGCTATTCCTCAAAAAAAAGATGCCAGCAACTCAAGGGAAAGTTACAACTCAAGTTCAGTCTACAACTTCCTCGTAAGGGGGTGTCGAGAGGCAGGAGACCTTTTCTCCATTAACACCAGTGACAGGACCCGCGGGAACGGGGTTAAGCTGAGGCAGGGGAAGTTTAGGCTGGACATCAGGAGGGGCTTCTTCACAGAGAGGGTGGTTGCACACTGGAACAGGCTCCCCAGGGAAGTGGTCACTGCACCGAGCCTGACTGAATTTAAGAAGAGATTGGACTGTGCACTTAGTCACATGGTCTGAACTTGGGTAGACCTGTGCGGTGTCAAGAGTTGGACTTGATGATCCTTAAGGGTCCCTTCCAACTCAGGATATTCTATGATTCTATGATTCTATGATTCTAATACAGGCCCAGGGCAGACATGGTATTTTTTACCTCCTAAGGTATTTGACAAATTGTGTCCTCAAAATGCTTCTTTCTTTCCATTGATTACAAAAGGAACATAAGATGGCTAACTCAGATGTAAATGTGTAGATATTTTCCCCAAAGTGAGCTGGGAATTATCTTACTGTATAGGCAGAGTACTACCAATTTACCATGGTAACCACAGGAAAAACGCAGAGCAATACAGAGAGCATGCCAATTTACCACAGGTGAAGTATGTCTGGTATCCATCAAGTACAACAGACAAGAGGCTGAGGTATCTGATCCTCCTCCACAGATCTCAGAAAAATTTCTTGAACCCACAAGTTTGAAAAGAAATAAGACTAAAACAATATTCTCAATGTTTATTTTAAAGAAACGTATGTCAGCTCTTCTTTTCTCTGTAGCAGTAGGAACGGGTGGGATTCACTTTTCCATAACACCAACTCTCCTGATGTTACATGTCATAAATGTTTCCAGAAGCTCACCTTTCAATGCTTTCTGGGATCCTTACTAAAACCACTGCAGGTGATATTGTTTCCTAATTTTTACACTTATGCTTGTTTCTGTCTCAAATATTTACAAATTTTCAGGCTTTTTGGTCATGGAAAATATTTGATTCTTGTTAAGTAAATTTTGACGGTATGGAATGTGTAAGTATTTGTCTAATAGAAAATGTATGCGTGAGTATTTGTCTAACAGAATTTGATTGGAAGAAGAAATTTGCTGTTCACATCAATTTTGTGCCGTGTTATCAAGAAGACAGCAGAAAACACATCTTCCAGATCTGCTATGTTTAGAGGGTGTATATAAAGATTGCCTAAGATTTTAAACTCGATTACTTCATGGTCAGTATGGCCAACAAGTCTACCAACTGCCACTTCACCCACAAGACCTCTGTTCACAAGCATCAGATCTAGGAGGGCACCTTTCCTAAACAGCTACCTTATAGTACCTGTACCAAATTCATGTTTTCTTCCTTTTCTAAAATGAAAAGGAGGAAGCCAAAACTCTGAATGAAGTGCCATATTCTGAGATGTTACTGGAGCAGAATCTCCATTTGGACTTTCCAGTTTATAATTACTTATGATTTTTATAAGTGAGAACCGGAGAACAGAAGAGGAAAAAACATTATTACTTGACAAGAAAATCATAAAAATAAAGATTTATCTTTGTTTTGCAGGGTGAGCATGACAAAGATAAAAAGGATCCTCCTGTAATAGTAAGTATTCTTACCCTATACATATTTGCACTTCTGCCCTCTTTAGCATGTAAATTACTATTATATAGAACACATACATATATGTTATTTCATATATTACGTATTATATTATATATATATTATAACATATATATATGTTATAAAATATACATATAGTTATTTCTGGAGCTATAGCTTTTGCATCAACATAAGAACTCAGGAAGATATTTTTCTGTGGTATTTTCATATGTAAGTTTCTTAATATCTCTCAACAACTTTAAACTTCACAACAGAAACACTCAGTGGTAGGACGAACTAATGTATCAGAATTTAAAATTTGGAGAAAAGAACACTTAACAACCATGTACCTACAAACTCATACAAATTAGTTTTCCAAACTTTATTAATATTTGCCTCTGGAATGAAATACACCATCTAAATGCTTTGATTTTAGGTAAACACAAACAAATACGAATTCGAAAATTATAATGTGAAAAAAAAATACATTCTGAAAATCAGAGCACGTGGAAACAGCTGTACTATAAACAAAAGCTGGGGTGAATGGAGTAAACCCATAGAGTTTGGTAAGCCCATGGAATATATATATATATTTATTTTATTACAATGTTTGCAAACCTTTCTCTCTCGAACTCATATATATATGACTAAATCTTGATTCTTACCCAATGACGTGGAAGGAACGCAGTAGAAACTATTAACGTAGAGGAGATGCTCAAATACTGCGAAATGGAGGCTGATAACAACCTGTGAGCAGTTGTGATTGTGAAGACAGCTATTAGTCAGATGCCAGGGTTATAGGAACTGGCTGAGATAGACCCAAACTATCATCTGCCTGAAGCTCTGAGATTTCCTTTAAGTTCTTGAAGATTTTATCACAATCATCCTCTTCCTACTGAATCCTTTTCACCATTTCCTAAATGTTATTTTTTTAGTTCCACTACTGTCTCTGCTTTTCACCCTGCAACTTTCTCCTTCTCTGGATTTTTTTTTTTTAATTGATCTCCACAGTTTACATGTTCAACTTGTTTTAAAATGTTTTAAATCAGATGCCAAGCTGAAATCCTTTGGATTATTCAAGAGGTTAAGGTGAAATTGGAGTTAATTACCGACAATCACAAAAGTAGATTTTGGGCACACTATGATGTTTTTCCCTTGGATTTTTCAGGTGAAAACGAAGATTACTTCCTTGTTGTGCTTTTACTTCTGATAGTACTTGGAACAATCTTAGTGACACTGCTCCTTTTTTTTCTTTGCAAAAGGTAAATCAATCTTATTAATGTAGGTATTTCTGTGAAACACATTCTTCCTACCTCTATAAGCTTCAAGAATCTGGTTATCAATATCATGAAGTGTTATTACCAGTATTGTTTGGGATGGCACTGTGGAACACAAAATCACAAGCGAAAAAGGGAGAAAGACTGATGAAGTTAGGGACTGATGCAAGCAGACCTTGGGGAAAAAAAAAAGTCTTTGTTTTTAAGTATTTAACATTGACATTACTTTACAATCATTGACTTCACGTAGTGCAAGACAAAAAGGAAGCAGTATAAATGAACGTGTCCTTTGATAAAATTTCTCACATAGTGGGGGAAGAAAGTTATTTACACCAGGCGAGCTACTGAAAATCAGTTTAATAAATTATTTAGTGTAGCTTTAGTCACAAAGTAAGCTTAAGTTACTTAAGTGATCAGTGTAAGAAGTTACCCACCAGTCTACACAAAATATTTTCTTTCTTCTCACTTAGTGATTTGTAGAGCAATAAATAACATCCTTAAGGTACAACACAATGTTTGTGTTATATTGCTGGTATTTACCAGTAATTTAATTTATTCTCAATCCCATTTTGTATCCAAAGGTATTGCAGTTTCAAAAGAGTATTTCCTCCTATTCCACAACCAAGAGACAAATTTAACACATCACATGATGAAAATATCCAGGTATGCTTTCTCATTTATTTAGTCAAATTTGCTAACTAAAACACACAAGCTCGAATAATTAGCATATAAAGATGAGAACCAAATTCCATTAAAAACTAATTTGATCCTGTGCAAAGTATGTTGTTTTGAAACTAGAAATACTCTGTGTGAGTGCTGAGTCCAGAGATTATCTTGTGTGTGTTTGCATCGTATTTTAAGGTCATAGTTATTTTTAGCAGATTGGTAATTTCTGTACTTACTGATTTTGCAAGGTTACTGTTTATGGTTTGAAAATAGTCAAATCAAGGAAGCATTTGCCAGTAGTATTTTCTGGTATTGGTGATCATGAAATGCATATTTGCATATATAAAGCCCGATATATACTTATGAAAACTCTTTTACATTGGATCGTAAAAAAGTAGGGCTGGAAAGAGTCTCAGAAACTTAACTGGTCTTTCCCTTTGGTTCAGCACAGGATTAGTTAACGACAATTTCAATGTTTTGGGCAAATTGCATTCAAGTGACATTCTATAGCATCCTTAGACTGCATGTTATGTTTACCCTTACTTTCAGAAACTTTGTCAAAGTAGTCTGTTTTACTGAATTTAAAATCCACTACTTCCAAACCTGATTCCTTTCCTGTTTACAGTACTGTATGTACTTGAACACTGTCAACAACAGCTAACGCTCCCAGTCTCTGTTCACGTGTCCTGACAACCAAACTCAAACCATGCATGTTTCTCTTCTGTTTGGTCTATGTGGAGTCCCTTGCACTGCTCCTGCATGATGGAATGCCCACCTTGTGTTAATTAGCTATAGATATTTAAGTCACCAAATGAGGCTAGTTACTTATTGCCTACAATGTTTCAACAGGCAACACCTTTTTCAATAAAGTTTGAGAAGTGAGAACTTTTCCTTCAAGTTTTCACAAAGGCTCTTCAAAGCTATTGTTACTGAAACTCCTGTTTTGGTAACCGTATACCAACAGGTTGACCTACATATGATAGTTACCAGCTTTGGGGTTAATACTAGGTAGACAGCAATGCAACTTGGATGAGTTTCCTCATCCATGTTACAAAAGCCTGATACCTCATTTCCTATCAGGCTACCAGAACAAAGGCTGCAGATCAGCAGTTCACAATCCACCAAGTTATAAATTGGCATTTGCTAGTAAAGTAGCAAGCAGTCCTTAAATCTTGCAGACCCTCCATCTCGATGTTTACGCTAAACTTGAGGGACCTCAAAATCCCTGTGCTCGTATTACTGGAATAACACAAACACCACCCAGAGCCCAGGTTATCTTTGTGGATGTGGTTTCATAAACTGTGGCATGGGCACTTCCACGCAGGCAGCAGCTGATCAGTACTAATTGCCAAAGTTCAGGTTCACAGCTGCCAACCCTGTGAAGGTATTTTTCCCAGTCTCTTACCTGCTGAACACCTTCTATGCTCTTCTTCGCCTATTTTAGTCTTAAAAATTAGTTTCATCTCTTCTTCCCAAAGATGATCACTGGTAGAGATGCTTGAATGATGTAATCCTTCAAAAAGGATAGAGCAAAAATGTGTTCTCAGAACTTCCCCATCTAATTGAATACCAGGACTACATATTCCTGGCGTTTAGGTCTAACACATTTATGAACTCTTCTAAACTTACGGTGGTCCTCTGCTTCACGTTTCTGATGCCTGTATTTCCTCATTTTGTCCCTCCTTCCTCTAATGACCTTTTCACATCTTCTCATCGTTTGTCCTGCTTCTTGACACAGCTTTCTGCTAGGTCATTGAAAAAAATCATGGTTTATAACTGTAAACTCTGCACCAGGTTTGCACTTGCTTCCTTCACATTTATGTTTAAAGAGTGTTTGCTTTCCCATTTTATTTGGGTAAGATTCTACTCAGTTCAGACAATGCTCCTTCATTTTGTTTTAGTGATCTTCCTTCACTTTGTCATTCTTTGTTTATCCCCTGCAACTGCAAGCATTTCTTATGCATCAGAATAGCAAAACCAGTATGCCTTTGAAAGAAGGTGTGTCTAGCATTTCTGAATGTTCCCTGCTCTACAACAGTAAATCTGTAGCTTTCCCCAAGTTAAAGGCTAATGAATTTTCTCTCTTAGACAGAGAACATGTTTCCATCCAGCCTAAGCTGTACTAAGGAAGTAACTATGGTTGAAGAGATGACCTAACTTTCTAAAAAGAAAACAGACTTGGATTCTTCAACACAAAATCACGCATCATGACAATCTACAAGCATTTAAGGTGTTCTTCACAGTATAGACTAGAAATGAACACCTATGAAATTTTCCCCCATTAAAAACAATAAATAAATAAAATGGAATAGGAAGCTTTCTAAAATACAGGCCTTAGATTTAGATTCCTGCTTTTATATGTATGTGTAAAATTCCAGATCTTTTTCTGTTAAATGTATTTTTCAAAATAAACACATTTTACCAAATATGTGCTTCAATAAGGCAGAAAACAAATGCTTTTTTTAAAAGTCATTTATTATTTGCCTCTTATGTTCCCACACCGCATAATCACATTGAGAATTGCTGCTGCATGACTAAGGGAAGCAATATACTAGAAAAATGAACACCTAGTAGTACATGCTGAAATGCACAGCATAGCTAATTGCAGTTCCACTTACAGAACAACCCACTCTTACATAGATTTCTTTTCCTATTTCCTCTGGTTAAAACCAAATTCTGTAGTGGGGGGATGAGATTTGTCATCCCCCTGTTCAAGAACTGCTCAGGTAACTGTCATGCTTGGTTCTTCCTCACAAAGCCAGGCCACCATGCACTCACAGTAAGGTTATGCAAGGTGCTTTATCTCTACCTTCCAAGCCACTGATGTAGAAAGTAAACCAATGCAATCTATTTATACAGACAACCTTTTCCCTGCCCCCCCCACCCCCCCAATCAATATAATTATAACTGAAACAGCAGCTTGATTGGCAAGGTCAACATCAAATGACCTGCTCACATCACAAGAGTGCTACCATGACTGAACAAGATAAAAAACCACCTGCAGTAGGTACATAAGGTTTGCCATTAGCCTGTGTACAAAGTAGCTATGGAATGTACTTACATTCATATAAAGATGTTGAAAGCAGTGCTTGTGCCAAGGAACATCATGTTGGAGCCAAATAATCAGACAAAGCCATGTAGTAAATTTAAATACCTCATCTTGAGTAGCAACCTCAGAAGGCACAAAAAAACCTCAGCTCAGTCAGCCTTCAGTGACTCATACAATGACATAGTTTCTTTCAGATACAGGGCAAGTTCTTAAGAACATGACTGGAAGATGAACACCTTGTCTTCCTTTACTGGTCTCCCCACATCCTTGTAGATTACAGAATACAAAAGCAAGATTATACACACATATGCAGATCACAGACTTAATTCCTCATACTGCCATTTGAGATAATGTACTACCTGTTTCTAGTCTTCAGACAATCCTTGAAATTAGACATTATTCAGTTATTAGTGAAGGCTGACCTACCGTTACCTCTATTTTACAGCTACACAGGATCACACATATTCCCTGTCACATATCCTAACTGCACCTCTAAAACTGAGCTTCATTTCAGATTAAATCTATCTTCCACAGAGGTACTGACCACTGCTAGAGATCAGGCCGAACACACTCTTGAGTGGCATGATCAGCATTTCCAAATAGCAGCAACAATACAATAGACAGGTCACTCAAACATTAAAGGCATTTAACTGGGTTCCTGGGTTTTTGCATGAATGTCCTGTGTTGCTTTCTATATTAACTTAAAAAATATATATATTCCATTTTAAGTTGCTTTGCGAAGGGCAAGAACATCACTTTTTGACAGCCCTTGCGACTTTGGGTCCTTGAAGTGCTACAACAGAAAAACCCTCATTTTACATCACATGAAAAGCTGCAAATCAATTCTTAAGAATCATGCAAAAAGCCACTTGCAGCAGCCCATCATACACAATCAGGCACAAAGAATGGGAGTGGTTTCTATTAGTACAACCTATGCTTTTTTCTTCAAAGGTCTCACATTCAATTATTTTAATAAAATCAAGCTTATTCTGTTATAGTGCAGTGTAAGTGTATCAGATGAACCATTATCCAAAACAAGTTTTCAGAGAAAAGAGGCTTTCCCAAAGCTTCGATGTAATAATTTCAACACAGACAGAGTAAGTATGTTTATTGTTTTACAGCAGAATGCCCCAATTTAAGAACAAAATTGCTAGATGTTCAGCTGTGCAAAATGGTACATAGTGCTTCAGTACAAGTGGAAAAGAATGATTTGTTAGCAAGTACTTTCAAAGACAATTTTATGGTCCTAAAACAGATAGGACTTGAAACTGGGGACTGATCCATGGGCATACAATGCTTTTCTACCTAACTTGGACCCAGCCACTTTGGACCCTGAACCAGTGACGCTGATTTCTCATTGCTGAAACAAGTCACCACACTGAACTGCCAGATTCAGTGTCTTCACACAGGTTACCATGAAATGGATCAGTTCTGTATGTCAGTTTCCAGCCCCATCTACAAATATCATCTGGCTCTGATAAATAAGACTCACAGGAATTTCTTGAAGGTCAATGGTCCATAATGGTAGTTATTCTACATGATCTGCTCAACTTGATTTCAAATTCTAGTTAGGCCGCTTAAATGACTTTCTTGAATTCGTCATACAGCACAAGCACGAAAGCTCCCCCCATGCCTCGGAGAACATTAGACCATGCACCCTTGAAGAACGCCTTTCCTCCCTCATCCCTTGCAATCTTCCGCCAGCAGTCAATCGTTCCAGAGTACATGATATCAGCTGTAGAAAAAGAGCAAAGTTATTTTTAGCTCCTGTAATTGTACCTCAGGTGTCTCTAGCAACTGCCATTTCACTTCCCTAGCTACTTCATGTCCCACACCTTGCTTTAAGACTACCACAATACTAGCTCAGGCAACAGAAAATCTTGCTACCTGCCTGCCTAGTTATTGTAAGTTATGTCACAAAAGAATCTGAAATGTTCTTATGGCATTCATACTGTCAACTCATTGCTTTCACGTAGCTTGCCACTGTAAAGAGCCAGCCCATTTACCCAATTCATATTCCACAAAGAGAAGTCTTCAGCATAATTCCTCACAAACACCACAGACTGTGAGCCTTACTCAACTGCCTCGTACTACTTAAACATAATTAAAGTTAACAGATATTTATGCAATAAGGAACTGGAAGTGCTGAGGGATGACCGTTAGGAACTCCGTCTTGTTAGTGCTGCATGAAGAACCACAGGGAGTAACAGCCTACCTCCTTTGCGTCCCGACTGCATCATCATCCTACGCCGCACAGTATCGAAAGGATAGGAAACCACACCAGCCACAGCTGTCACTGTCTGTGCAATCATCCAGCTGATAACAATGTGAGTATTTCTGGGATCTGGCAGCATGCCTGCAATAAAAAAACTAATTAGCTTTTTATCCTCTACACCCTCCTCCAGTTCACTGCACAACAACAGCTACTTTCCTAGCTTTTACAAAACATTGTAAAGCTATGATTTAAGCTGCAACAAGACGCTTGATACACTTGAAGCACACTTAGGCTATGTAGAAAAAAAAATCAAGGAAACCCACAGTATTTTATATTCTCAGTAATCAAAATTTAGGCACCAAGATGCTTTCAGACTGGCACGGAAGTGTTTAATCATTCCCTGGGTGTTTATACAAATAAGGGTTACTAGAATAATGCATTGTCCCTATAAATTTTAATGAACTATACACACCCATTATTCCCACACCCAGAAGTCAAGCTTAAACAAATGATTTCTGAAAGCACTGCTCAAACCAATTCTGCTAAGCACACCCAAATTGGTCTAATGTAACTACAGCAACTCAGCGAGCAAAACCAAACTACAGTATTTGTGTATGGTTACCAACAAACATTACTGCTATAAAGAAAAACCTGCTGGTTTTAACTCCAAGTAAACAAAAGGAAAATTCAAAAGCAGCCTGCACTATCAATACATCCTGAAGATTTGCTTTGAACAGCGCCACTGGCAGGTCACACTGATGCTGACCAAGACCACCCCCTTCTGCCCCCACACTTACGTAAGCTATAGACAGAGCAAACAAAGTGACATGCGAGAAACAGACATAAACAGGCAATACAATCTGCAAATTGAACCAAATGATGAACCAAAAAGGTTCATCAACTCCCTCCTGAAATTTTACTTTTGCTGGATCGTAGATTCCAAAGTAGGCAGCTCTATAGATGATGATGCCCTGGACAGAGACATTGAACCCTTGGTACAAGCCACGCAGACCATCAGACTTGGTGATTTTTGACTAGACAGTCCCCCTAGACCAGAGAATTCTCGTCCTGCACCAGCTTTTCCAAACATCAGCTGCCAAGCAGGGGTTCTTGCAAAATCCAAGGGGTAGACAAAGCAGAGGGAAGTGGCTCCAGCTGCACCACCAGAGGCCAGGTTACCAGCAAAATACCTCCAGACATGAGTGTGCTGGTCTACTCCTCCCAGGAACACCTGCTTATACTTATCCTTGAAGGCGAAGTTGAGAGCTTGAGTTGGGAAGTATCTGATGACATTCGCCAAATTCCCTCGCCAGAAGGACAGCACTCCTTGCTCCTTTGGAATACGCACTACGCAATCGATGATGCCTTTGTACTGCTTATCGGCAGCAATCTGTTTACTTGCGTGTTGCACCTGCAAATAAGAGTACGCATTTTTGACTCAATGCCTTGGCAGGCCTGCACTGCGGCTTGGCTTAAGCCTGTTTGGAGCGTAACAGGAAGAGCTGTTAAGCCAGAACGCCTGACAGCAGCTGGGTATGGAGACCGAGCCTGTGGTTACCACAGTAAGGTTACCATACCCCCTGATAACAAGCTTAAAGCTATTCAAGCTGTTCAGCCTGGAGAAAAAGGCTCTGGGAAGACCTTCTAGTGGTGTTTCAGTACATACTCTTTGCCAGGATTGTACTGACAGGACAAGGGTAAAGGTTTTAAGCTAAAAGAGGGAAGATGTAGATTCTGTATAAGGAAGAAATTCTTTACTCAGAGAGAGGGGTGAAGCACAAGAACAGGTTGCCCAGAGAAGCTGTGAATGCCCCCTGGAAGTGCTGAAGGCCAGATTAGATGGGGCTTTGAGCAACCTGGTCTGGTGGGAGGTGTCCCTGTCCATGGCAGCAGGACTGAGCTAGATGATCTTTAAGGTACCTTCCAATCCAAAACATTCTACAATTCTATGATTTGACGTTTGTTATCTGGCATTTATTTTGCAATAACTAAAATAAATGTTATTTTCTATACCCTATTAATTTATACCCTATTAATTATTATAACCAGAAATATGTGGGTTTCTGTTTCTTGGGAAAAAAAAAAAAAAGTGAATCCTGAAATAAAGAACATGGGTATTTGATGCAGGAAGGCACCTCTGGAAACCAGTCCAGTCCTGCCCCCTGCTCAGAGCAGAGTAAGCTGCAGCAGGTTGCTTAGAGCTGTGTTCAGAGCTTTTGAATATCTCCGAGACTGAGGACTCAACAGCCTCTCTGAGCAGCTCTGCCAGTGTCTGCCCACCCTGAAAGTAAAATGTATTCTTGAGTTTTAATGGAATGTCCCATATTTCAGTTTGTGCCCATTGCCTCCTGTCCAGTCACTAGGCACCACTGAGCAGTCTGGCTCCTCTTCCTTATTCCTCTCACTTGATAAGATCCTCAAGATGAAGATGAGCATTCATCTTCCCAGAATGAAGTTCCAGCTCTCTTCACCCCTTCTTTTATGAAAGCTGCTCCACTCCCTTAACCATATTCGTGGTCCTTTGCTGGACTTATTGAGTCCATGTCTTGCTTGTACTAGGAAGCCCAAACTGGCCACAGTACTCCAGGTTGGGCCTCACCTGTAGTGGAGAGGAAGGATCACCTTCCTTGCAGTGCTGGCATCATTACTCCTGATGCCAAGGTTGCTATGGATTGCCTTTGCCATAAGGGCACTTGCTGGTTCATGGGCAGCTTGTTGTTTACCTGGACTCCAAGGGCCCTCTCTGCAAAGCTGCTTTCCAGCAAAACATCCTCAGCCTGTGCAAGAACCCCAAGAACTCATTTTCCTTTAATGAAATTTATGAAATACTTGTCAGTCCATTTATCTGGCCTGTCTTGGACTCTCTGAAGCAAAACAGAATAGTGGTATATCACTTCTCCCACTTTCGTACCATTTCAAAAAATGAAAATACTGATCTAGAGACCGAATTGGTTCTGGAAAAGCTTAATTAAAGTATCAATGTGAGGTAAATATTTAATTGCCTTGTGTGTGTTGCCCTGTTTTTATCCCTATGCCTCTGGGTACGCTTAGCATGTGTATGGTGCTCTCCATATGTCCACAATGTATAAGCATCAATTTATGTCCACATCACCCGGAGAGTAAAATTCAAATTTTCATCTCTAGAAGGGTGTCGCAAGCAGGAGTGCTTTTCCCAGATCCACTCAAGAAAATAAAGTCAGTGGTAGAGCTAGGAATTAGAACCAAGGAACCTTAGTCTCAGGTGGCATTTTCTGGTAGCTTCCTACACTCACACCCTGAGAGAAAAGACAACAGCCTGTACAGACTAATAGGGTAAGAAATTAGAGTGTTTAAGTCAGTATTGAATTGATGCTCTCTGTAAAAACTGCTACAGATACGCCACAACTTTTAAATGTGACCTTGTTTTCCTTCTGGCATGTCAGTACTAAGATCTTTCCAAAGCATACTGAGTTTGCCCATGCTACAAAGGATTGAATATGCTCAAGTTCACTAGCATACAATGAAAGAAGCCACTTTACCAGGGATATGATCACTATGTCTGAGTAAGTCAAATCATACATCTGGTAATGTTAGATAATAAGCTTAGCAGTATTTTAAATGTTTTCCTTGATAAGATTTTGCTAGTGAAAAATTAACCATATAGTCTATGTCCGTACATCTAAATAAAAGAAAGCTAGGGCTTTTCATAGCTCCAGGGTCATGTAGCACTGGCCAGCTCATATCCACATAGCTTAGGTTAGTCTTACAGCAAATCTGCCTTGGAGAGAGCTAGGGGGTGAGCTAAGAACTGAGGAGTGTGGAAACCAGATTCTTGAGCTCCCTCTGCGTCCCTCCCCATGCAGTAGCATAGCCACATGCTGAAAGACCAAGGCACCAGTAAGGCTGGTCAGGAGCGAAAAAAAAGAAAAACAAACAAAAAAAAAAAAAAAAAAAAAAAAAAAACAAACAACAAGCATAGAGTTAAGAATGAGGGAAACACTACTTGCACATGTTCTTGTTTCTGTTAGTTTGATCCTCCAAATAACACTCCCAAGCAGTCTGAGATAACTACACCTTTCTTCTGACACCCTGAGGTCTGTTGAGAGCAGAATGAGTTTAACCATACCTGTTTGCAAAACATCAATCTGGGAGAAGATGCAGGGCCTGAAAGTACAAAGCTCCTGCAGATGTGGTGCTGGAGCCATTTGCTTAGCTGCCAGGCAGAAGGTATGGAAGAGCAAGGCAACTGAATTAAGTCTCTCTGCAGCTCCTCTATCCTTCACCCTGCCTGCAACCCAGAGAAAATTCAGGAGACCTGGCTATGTGTTGGTACTTTCAAACCTGGTGGGCGGCAATGGAGAGAACACAGCAATAACCCAACCCAAATCACTTCTTGTGTAATTTATTTTAAAAGTCAGTCATCAGTGAAACACAAGTCTATTGGGAAGCAAATTCTGTCAGTGCTCTGGTCAATGGAAAGGGACATTTCTTATGAGGAGAGTAAACACAACTTCTACTTCTACTGCAAGCTCACTGACAAGTCCAGATCCTGGACACAACAGTGCCAGCAAGCACTCCTCTAAGCAGGAAGGGCTGCAGTTGACTTCTTTGGCAGTGATCAGATCAGTGATCAAATGAGCATTTCCATGAGAAAACATGGAGAACATTTACAGAATAGGCCTGCTGTCATTCATAAGGATTTGAAAGCCCAAGAGTCACAAGAACAGACAGAAGGAGATGACAAGAAGAATGAAGCAAAGACAATAAAGGAAAGGAGAGCAGAGAGTTGAGAGAGAATAAGGAAGCAAACACCTAAAATTGAGGGTAGGATGAGGAAAAGAACAATGAAAGGTTAAGAGTCATTAAACAGAAGGCACAAAACCGAGAAAAATATGGCTATATGAAAAGAACAGGAGGTCTTGAGGTTCCTGTGCGCAGTTCTGAGGAGATCACTGAGAGCATGGAAGAGTAGAATAAGTGTTGAGACCCTCATCTTGCAGAGCATTTCAGTGCCGGTCCTCCGTACAGTTTGTACCTAAGATTCTTCAGTATCACTTCCCAGCAGCTGTGGCCACATCCTCACTGTAGCAGAATGATTTGCAAAGAAAAGATTGATGTTGCAGAGATAAGCAGAAAGGCATCAGGCTACAGTGAAGAGTCGCTCTGTCCTGGCTCAATTTCTGGAGACTGTAATGGACAGGCCATGCCAAGCCATTTCCATGTCTTCTTCTGAAATGACCATAAAAAACTAATGTAGAAAGACAGACAAGTAACAAACTATTAGCAAGCTTCTTCTTCTCCTGAGTTCATAAGAATTTATCTAACAGTGTTGGAATTAGCCTTAGAAATGCCTGCAATCAAGAAAATGGCTACTAGAAAATTACACTACTATGAAATACTAAAGCAAAAAATACCATGAATTGCCATTGCTTCTTAACATATAAAGGAACAGAAAAACAACTTCTGCTCATAGTGAAAGGAAGTGGTGCTGGCGCTTTCCAGAAAGAAGAAAGGGAAAGGGAAAGGGAAAGGGAAAGGGAAAGGGAAAGGGAAAGGGAAAGGGAAAGGGAAAGGGAAAGGGAAAGGGAAAGGGAGGGAAGGGAAAGGGAAAGGGAAAGGGAAGGAAAGGAAAGGAAAGGAAAGGAAAGGGAAAGGGGAAAGGAAGGAAAGGAAAGGAAAGGAAAGGAAAGAAAGAAAGGAAAGGAAAGGAAGGAAAAGGAAAGGAAAGGAAAGGAAAGGAAAGGAAGGAAAGGAAAGGAAGGAAAGGAAAGAAAGGAAGGAAAAGGAAAAAGAAGAAGAGAAGAAGAGAAGAGAAGAGAAGAGAAGAGAGAGAAGAGAAAGAGAAGAGAAGAGAAGAGAAGAGAAGAGAAGAGAGAGAAGGAGAGAAGAGAAGAGAAGAGAAGAGAAGAGAAGAGAAGAGAAGAAAAGAAAAAGAAAAGAAAAGAAAAGAAAAAAGAAAAGAAAAGAAAAGAAAAGAAAAGAAAAGAAAAGAAAAGAAAGAAAAGAAAAGAAAAGAAAAGAAAAGAAAAGAAAAGAAAAGAAAGAAAAGAAAAGAAAAGAAAAGAAAAGAAAGAAAAGAAAAGAAGAAAAAGAAAGAAGATATTTCTTGATTCCATCAGTGACCCTGAGCTAGAGGACTACTCATGAAAGCAAAACCATGATGTACCTTGATAAAGCAGGCAGCAATACAGATCCTCTTCTGCATTCACACAGCCTGATTGGGAAGGTCTATCCTTCCACTTACTGTCTGTATAATGCTCTATCAAAGGTAATATTCACACTCTGTAATAGATGACAAAAAAAAAAAAAAGTAGGCAAAAAAGGCCGGCTAGGTATAAAATTTGGTTGCTGCTTTTCTTTAGGAAATTAAAAAATCAAAGAAAAAAAAATTTAAAATTAAAGACACTCAGCAGAAAGAAACAGAAAACCAGATATGCAAAGTAAATAAACAAATAAATATTAGAAAAACATCAACAAGTTTAAAAAGACCTGCATATAATCAAAGGATTTAAAACAAGAACTGAAAAATTCTTTACTTGTACCAGAAGCAGTGAATAGATTTCAGCCAGATCTCCAATGCCTGTAATGGGAGCTTAAACAATTCACACATATGTAAAGACCTTATGAAATTATTATTCTGTAGAAATAGAATATAAAATACATAGATAAGAAAATCTGATTAAAGCATAAACACATTCTCACACAGGGAGTCACATATCTCTCTCGTCTATGAGCATTTGGTCTGTATATCCATAAAAAATTGGATAAAAATCAGGGAAATAATTTAATATATTTAGATTATAAAAATTTGATGTAATGATCATACCCATGTACTGGGTCTGGCTGGAATGTTATCTTTCCCGGCAGCAGCCCATACAGTGCCGTACTCTGTACTTGTAGCTGAACAGCAGTGTTATCACACCAGTGTTGTGTCTACTGCTGAGCAGCAGTGGCACAGCATTGGGCCTTTCTCTAACCCTCCTAGGGGGTGGGCAAAAAGTGAGGAGAGAAACATCACCAGGGCAGCTGACCTAAACCAATCAAAGGGATATTCCATACCATGTGATGTCACACTCAGCAATAAAAGGTGGAAACAGGAAGAAGAGGGGAGGGGTGGGCTCTCGTTGAGAAGACGTCGGTCCTCCTTTCGAACACTGGCTGCATGCGTTGAGGCCTTGCTTCAAGGACGTGGTCAATCATCGCTCATTCATCGCTCATTTGTGGGAAGTAGAGAGTAATTTCTTTCCTCTGCGCTTCCATATAGCTTTCATTTATTTTGTTTGTTTGTTTTCCTCCCTTCTTTTTATTTTTCCTTTTCCCCTCCCTTTTCCCCTTTCCCTTTTTATCTCCCTTTAGTTAAATTGTTTAGTTCATGGTAGTCTTTATTTAATTATTATAATTATTTCCCTTTAATTAAATTATCCTTATCTCAACCCGTGAGTTGTTCTTTGCTTTACTTCTCCCCCTCCTCATCTAAAGGACGGGGAGTGAGAGACAGGTTGTGGGGTTTAGCTGCCCAGCACGGTAAAACCACCACAACCCAAAAAAACATTTAACTCAGAAACATATTCTGCTAATTTTGATTTGGGTATCATCAAAGCCCTAGGTACGTTCATTACTTTTCCCAGCTTCTCAAATGTATTTTGTAGCCCAAGTTAAATTGTGCATCAGTGTAGTTTAAAATTATTATGGAGATGGTTCTATGAGATATCTTCATATTTTTATTACAAAGCACATATTCTAGAGGTTCAGTTGAGTCCAGAGTAAGATTCAGCAAGTTCTGGACCCAAAATAAATGAACAACATAGAAAGTGCAGAAAAAAGTATTGTATTTAATAGTGATAGAGATGCAGGAAACTATACCTAACAATTGTGATTCTTATTATACTCAGTCTTCTGTGAAAACAGGTGAAAAGTGAGGGACCACAGTAAATAACAACAACTACAAATAAATAAAGAAATAAAACTCATTCAGGTTAGTCAGGAACTGACAGAAATGTTCAGCTTTATGATGAATGCTTCTATTGTAGACATTCAGGAAAATGGAAAAGCAGATCTGTGGTCAGGAAAAAAAAAAAAAGATTATAGTAAATTACAAGAAAACAAAAAACAAGAGAACCCACAAAAACAGAAATACCCTTTGCCTTCTAAAAATAATAATAATAACAATTATAAAAAGTGATTCAGGGAACTGCTCCAAGCATTATTAATGCTTTCCTCTTTCCTACATGAAATTTTGAAATCAGGCCTGAAAAGCTTTTCAGGCAAGACTGTAGATTTGCCACAGTCAGAAATAAATAAATAAATAATAAATAAATAAAGCAGGTCAGTATTTAATTCCTTCCAAACCTGACAAAGCCTTTCTCCTCCTGCTTTGCTTAGGTAGTTCATATCTCATGGGTGTTTTCCATGCACACCTCAGATACTGACAGGAGCAGGCAGATGCTTTGAACTTGACTTGGTGGTGATGCCAGCTTTAAAAGAGCACTCACGGAGAAGTGAGACAATCGTCCATAGCCTGACAGAGCCAAAAAAAAATTTCTCCACTTTCCAAAGGTGCCTTCAACAAACAGCTGAAAGC